TCCCCACCCTCCCACCCCACGCCCCATGCAGCACATTCCCCACGGCATCCAGATTTGGGAGACTGCGTTGGGTATAAAGTTACGCAGCCGGTAAAGACAGCATCTGCACATCAGTTCTGGGAAGCAGATGTCATTCGGATACGGGCTCGGGAAGTCAGTCTTCCGCTTTCTCTGGAATCTCCCTTCATCTACGCCAGGACTTGGGGGAACACACGAGTAACGAAATAGGTAACATGGAGTAGGTCTGTCGTCGGTTTTTCTGACACAGCAGAGGTCTTACAGGCTCTCGGGCCCTTGTGCTCTGACCTGTCACATCCCCTTTGGTGCGCACGGTTGCGGCAGAGGAAAAGGACAAGTAACCTAGGAGGGGCACAGGGCAGGCACCTGCCACGCTCGGAGGTCACGGCTTTCCCGTTGACGGTGGGGTCAGTGAGGTTCTGGCCTCTTGGTCTCCTAATCGGATCAGTAGTTTGGGTCTAAGCTATCAGGTGTCCACCTTCCCACCGCACTCCCTGCCACTAATGTGACGCTAAGTTTTATGTTCTACCTAAAGATCATTTGCTCCATCAAAATCAAGCTGAAAACAAGCTATTGGCCCAGCTACATGGACTTTTCTTTTTTTTTTTAATTTTTTAAATGTTTATTTATTTTTGAGAGAGAGAGAGACAGAGTGCAAGCCGGGAAAGGGCAGAGAGAGAGAGAGGGAGACACAGAATCCGAAGCAGGCTCCAGGCTCCAGGCTCCAGGCTCCGAGCTGTCAGCACAGAGCCCGCTGCAGGGCTCAAACCCACGAACTGTGAGATCATAACCTGAGCCGAAGTCAGATGCCCAACTGACTGAGCCACCCACACGCCCCTGGAATTTTCTTTAATGCTGTCTGGAGTTAGCCACATGTCGTGCTTTTACCTTTATCTAAAAACTGTTCAGGGGCACCCGGGGGGCTCAGGCTGTTGAGCATCCGACTCTTGATCTTGGCTCAGGTCATGATCTCATGGTTCATGGGATCGAGCCTCGATTTGGGCTCTGCACTGACAGCATGGAACCTGCTTGGGATTCTCTGTCTCCCTCTCTCTCTGCCCCTCTTGCACACTTTCTCTCCCTCTCTCTCTCTCTCTCTCCCCCCGCCCCTCTCTCAACAAACATTTAAAAACCAAAACTGTTCATTCACATCCTAGACGAATTTAGTAGATGCTCGTGCCCAAGGTTACGTAGCGCACGTGTTTTTCCATTGGATTATATCCTTCTGCTTCCTCACTTCCTTGGAAGTGTTTGTCCTTGGCTTTCCATAAGGTGTCAGTGGTGTGGCATGTTTCCACGCAGAGCACGGTACCTGACGGGCTAGCCAGGTAGCCTGTCCAGTTCAGGGCAATAAATCTGATAGTACATCTGCTGATAAACTAAACACAGGATGGCTCAGGTTGTGCATATATAAGGGACCGATACCTTCCCCGAAAGACACGAATACAAACACAAGACGATGAAAAAGGCATGTCTTTGCTCAAGTCCTTTTGGACACCGAGACTCACAATTTCTTTTTTCTCTGCGTAGATGTAACTCCTTTATCGAAAATCCCTCCGCTCTCAAGAAGCCTCAGGCCAAACTGAAGAAAATGCACAATTTAGGACACAAAAACAATAACCCTCCCAAAGAGCCTCAGCCTAAGAGGGTAGAAGAGGT